ATAACAAGTTGAACTTGGTTGAAATTTAATGAAGGGATCTGGGACTGTTGCCCTACAATATGCCGGCCAAGGGGAATAACTCCTAGGCAAAATATGTCATAGGAAAAGGGTCTATTGGCACATAAATGTAGTTGCTAAATTTAGTAAAAGAAAATAGAAAACAACGCTGAATTTGTTTCCTTTAATCAAAATATATTGTATTAAAAATAACCATACCAAGTCAAAATTATACTGTACATATTGTACGGTGAAGGAAGCGTATCGTTTCACCCCTAACATCAGTGAACAATTCTGTCAATTCATCTAAATTAACATCAGGATGATAATCTCATGATAATATGTATTTTTTAAAAAAAATTATTACATTTTTAAAACACATTTATTACCCTAGAAAAATTCACACTTCAAAGTTTTTATCAGCAATTTTTTTCCACCCATTGGGAAAGGGTCCGGTATCGGTTCAATTGGGAAAAATAACATTGAAGAAGAACAATGAGAATTTTGTCTCATTTAATGAAATAAACCGTATTTTTGAGCTTATTCCAAATTAATTACCTATAACTACCTGTTTTAAAGAATAAGCAGGAAGTACTTATTGATTCTTTTATCAATGTCCCATCTTTTCAAATTTTCAAGCTTTCAGTTTGTCAAAATGTATAGCATTACACTGTTTACACCACAGGTCCCGCCAAATTACCAATTTCTCTACTTTAAATTTAAGCGGAAGTGAAACAATAAGTCAACTTGTACAATAATTCATTTAGTCTGTTGCTTCACAGTTGAATTGGGAATCTTTGGTCACAAAACTGGGAAAAATTAATGTTTTTGGCATTGGGAATGGTGCTGTTTATCAGTACCAGTTATGTAAGGAAAAAGAAACCGCTGTTTATACTTTTACTGATGATGAAGTGAAGATTTTTTCTTGTTGTTTTAAATATATATTATTATAACAGTAACTTGATCCGAAGGGTCATATCACGTCGAGTTGACAGGCGTGGATCATCAGATCAAACGAGACGCGTAGCGTCGAGTTTGATCTGATGATCTGCGCCTGTCAACGAGACGTGATACGGCTCTTCGGATCAAGTTACTGTTATAATGATAAATTTATTATATATCCCCTCATAGCTAGCAAAATATATTAAAATAAACCTTCAGAGATCAATTGTATAACATTTATCCATAAAACAAAGCATAATAACAAGGGACTTTTTAATGCACAAGAAAAATAATGTCATATTTCTGCGTACTACGTCATCAGTTTCAGAGAGTGGTGATATGGATTCAGAAAACCACAGTGTGGTGATCCGAAAAGTTGGATCACGATGTCACGTGATTGCATAAAATCAACAGTAAAATTGAGTGATACACATTAGGTATATAATAATATATGTTATTAAGATGCTTTTCCCTATGTTATAAAACTTGTATGCTTATTTTTGTGTTTAGATGGTGGTCCACCTGCACAACAGACACCAAACATAACTGAACCACCCCCAGCAGAGAAGGCTGCCACAAATACTGCCGAGACAGAAATGGGTCAGTATGACAGATATCTAAAATATGATGAAAGAATGAAATGTACAGACTAGATAAGCAATATTTTGAAAACATTTCTAATATGTTTTATTTGCTCCTGCTGAGTATACCAAGCATTCAAAATAACTATGTGAAGGCTGAAATATTGCTGTGTAAATGCAAAAAGATGATGCAAACATAAATGTTTAAAGAATAATGAAGCATTTATATTGTCATGCAATACTTCATTTTATTTTGCTATTTTTCCCTTTCCTCTGCATTCCATGAAATTTAAATTCTTTGATCCTTGTCAATTCAGTTTTATTGGACTTTGTTCCACAGTGCTTAGTCTAGAAGTATCATAAATTTTTCTTAGCTGCTGCTTGGCTGCAGATTGTTTTAATAATTTAGTACAAATGCATCTAACATATAAGGGGTAAAATCAATACATGCTAGTCTATTGCTAGAAGTAGTTATTTGCCATTTCTGCACACTAAGGAAAAAATTGACATATTTTTTTTACATCCGAAAGACTATGCTTGACACTAATTTACTTAATTTAATTAATTGACATTTTTAAGGAATATATGATTAAGTGTTCTAATAAATGCTGACTTAGAATGCAGTGTTTAATCTAAAGACCACACTAACCAACATGCAATATATTTACGGTAGAGGTTTTCCTCATTGTATTAATTTTCAATTTGTAAGTGGTCAAAAATTTAATGCCAAAATTTGTCCCAGCATACTTAAACTAAACGAACATGTACGACATGTAGAGGCAAGAAATAAGTGAAATTTTCTACCAGTGGACTGATTATGATTCCATGAAATTAAAAACATATGAGAAAAGTTTGTGTACAGCATTTTACTTCTGCATCCTTTATTTTGAAGAACTACAAATACTAAATGAAATAATGAATCAGTTTTTCTCAGTTTTCTTATTTTTTAATCTGACACCTGTGTGTTACAGAGGGGACAGAGAAGTGGGAGGAGGAGGGAGCTGAAGATGCTGAAATGGAGGAGGAGGAAGAAGAGGAGGAGGCACCTGTCATAAAAGCCGAGGAGTCAGGGCCCAAAAAGGAACACGTCAATGTTGTCTTCATCGGCCATGTTGGTCAGTTCAGAGATGTTTACATTTAACAATTATAACTTACTTTTTGGTGATATTTTGCGAAAGACAAGCGGTACACAAAATTTGAACAGAATAATCATTTGACTGTAGCTTATACTTATGTGTCATTCACTTTTCTACCGTAGATGCTGGGAAATCAACAATTGGAGGTCATATAATGTAAGTAGTTTCTATTAATATAATCTAATGTGTAACTTGTGAATATTGAAACAATTCTTTCCTATGTTTCATATGTGATGTAAAATCCATTCATGTTGTTTGCTTTTCAGGTATGTTACGGGTATGGTTGATAAACGTACTCTGGAAAAATATGAAAGAGAAGCCAAGGAAAAAAACAGAGAATCATGGTCAGTTGATTATGATACTAAAAATAGCTTAAAAGTTACAAAACACCAAAAAAGTAGATCAAGATACATAAGCCATGACATTCGATTAATAGCAATTTGAATCGCTGATCTTATTATACCCCCCGCAAACGAAGTTTGGGGGGGTATATAGGAATCACCTTGTCTGTCTGTCCGTCTGTCCGTCCGTCCGTCCGTCTGTCTGTCTGTCTGTGCAATCGTGTCCAGTCCATATCTTTCTTACAGAGGGACATTAGAATCTACTACTCCACACTAAGATTGCTCATGACCTAAGGGTGTGTCATGACCTTGACCCAAGGTCATTTGGGGAAGTTCAAGGTCACTGGAAGAAAAATTTCATAATTCGTGTCCGGTCCATATCTTTCTTATGGATAAACTTGGTATTTCACACAAAGATTGCCCATGACCCAAGGGTGTGTCATGACCTTGACCCAAGATCATTTGGGGAAGTTCAAGGTCACTGGAAGAAAAATTTCATAAATCATGTTTGATACATATCTTTTATGGAAAAACTTGGAAGGTTCTCATTTCACACAAAGATTGCCCATGACCCAAGGATGTGTCATGACCCTGACCCAAGGTCATTTGGGAAAGTTCAAGGTCACTGGAAGAAAAATTTTAAAATTCCTGTCTGGTCCATATCTTTCTTATGGATAAACTTGGTAGGTTTTCATTTTACACAAAGATTGCCCATGACCCAAGGGTGTGTGATGACCTTGATCCAAGGTCATTTGGGGAAGTTCAAGGTCACTGGAAGAAAATTTTCATAATTTGTGTCCGGTCCATATCTTTCTTATGGATAAACTTGGTAGGTTCTCTTTTCACACAAAGATTGCCCATGACCCAAGGATGTGTCATGATCTTGACCCAAGGTCATTTGGAGAAGTTCAAGGTCATTGGTAAAAAATTTTCATAATTCGTGTCCGGTCCATATCTTTCTTATGGATAAACTTGGTTGGTTCTCATTTCACACAAAGATTGCCCATGACCCAAGGGTGTGTCATGACCTTGACCCAAGGTCATTTGGGGAAGTTCAAGGTCACTGGAAGAAAAATTTCATAATTTGTGTCAGGTCCATATCTTTCTTATGGATAAACTTGGTAGGTTCTCATTTCGCTCAAAGATTGCCCATGACCCAAGGGTGTGTCATGACCTTGATACAAGGTCAGTCGTTGAAGTTCAAGGTCATTGGAATAAAAATTTCATAATTCGTGTTTGATACATATCTTAATTATGGAAGAACTTACTTCTGAAAAACCCAGCGGGGGGTATTTTGTCCCGTTTGGACAGTTCTAGTTGAATTTATTGATTTGAAATACAAATGTAGTCATAAATGATAAATAAATACAAACTATTGAAATTTGCAGGTATTTATCATGGGCATTAGACACAAACTTGGAGGAGAGAGAAAAGGGGAAAACTGTGGAAGTTGGCAGGGCATTCTTTGAAACAGAAAACAAACACTTCACTATCCTAGATGCCCCAGGGCACAAGAGCTTTGTACCTAACATGATAGGGGGAGCATCACAAGCTGATTTAGCTGTATTGGTGGGTATTAAGATAGCATGTAGTAGTTTCAATCTAAGTACATCATGTTTGATAGTTTGTATTATGTATTTATACTAAATTGGCATGAATCACAAAGGTTTTTCAGAATTTTTCCAAAATGTGATGGCTCGAGAAAAAAAAAAGAAAGTTAAACCTGTGTGTTTTATCCAAATTTTTCATCAATGCATATTCAGTGTTATCTATAAAGTTAAGACGAGATGTATTAGAATGAAAAAACAATAATATCCAAAATGTGATGGCTCGGGAAAAAAAAAAAAGAAAGTTAAACCTATGTGTTTTATCCTAATTTTTCATCAATGCATATTCAGTGTTATCTATGAAGTTAAGATGAGATGTATTAGAATGAATAAACACTAATATCCAATATTAAACTCATTTTCTTCTCAGATAGTTTTACATCTTTCTATAAAATGTCTTTTCTTCATAACAGGTTATATCTGCACGTAAAGGAGAGTTTGAGACAGGGTTTGAAAGAGGAGGTCAGACAAGAGAACACGCTATGTTAGTCAAAACTGCTGGAGTCAAGCATTTAATAGTTGTCATCAACAAAATGGATGACCCCACTGTACAGTGGTCAGAAGAAAGGTATTAATTTAATGCAATCCCTGATAATTTTGGAACTAAATAAATTCACACTGCTTGTAAACTTTATCAAAATACTGTATATGCTTACAAATTAGGCCTGTTACAGTTTCCTGTAATAATGGAAAACCACATTGAGGTTACTTTTATTGCCTTTGGTTTCATTTTTCCAAAATCAAAAGAAGAAAATCGCAAACCGAACTGAAAATTTGCTGAATCAACACCCCTGAGTTGGCGAAATATTTTTTGACGTGTGACAGTCCAAGTATACATCCAGTTTGAATTTATTTATATGTGATGTAGGTTATGACATGACTGAATCCACCAATTTATCATCATCAATTTACATGCGAGGGAAATATGTCATTTAGAGTAGACCCCTGCCAGTGAAGATGAATAATGTTCCCCATTTATAGTTTGGGATCATAGATTTTAAATCTTTAGGGGATTGGTGGGGCTTGGTGGAAGGGAGGGTTCTTTTTTTGTCAGGAAGTTCTGTTTGTAAAGTCGGTGTTATATTAATAAACCCATATTTTTTAAACAGGTTTAATGAGTGCAAGGAGAAGTTACTACCATACCTGAAAAAATGTGGGTTTAATCCCAAAACAGACATTTATTTCTTACCTGTCTCGGGGTTAACAGGTGCATTCCTCAAAGACATACCTGACGAATCTGTGTGTCCGTGGTACAGGTAAGGGTCAGCGCATAGTATGGCTTAGTTACACTGATAAATGTTTATGTAAATACTTATGTTTAATATTGTAGGAAAACAGATTAACAAACAGACAATGAATTATGAGTTTGACAAAAACTACCGATTGCATATTAATGGCATTGAAAAATTGCAGTATCAACTTGATCAATGCTCAGAAAGATCTTAGAGCAGTTCTGTAAAACTAAATAGTTCTAAAGTGAGTTATATCAATTTTGTGAAACATCTCATTGAGCAATATAGTCAAAAAAATCAAACAAATACCATAGCTGCATAACAATATTTTAAAGTATTAGCTAAAAGTTTTATGGAGCATGTGTTTTTCAACTTGTATTTCTAATGGACATTTGTGTTTTACAGAGGACCATCATTGATAACATACCTGGACACAATGCCATCCTTCAACAGGTCCAGTAATCTACCTGTCCGTATGCCTATTGTAGACAGATACAAGGTATCAAATACGACTTCAGACATGTCTTTACATGGAAATCAATTGTTTGAAAATCATTTAGAAGAATTTTTTTTTATTTAAAAGAGAAAAGAACAGCATTTATCGATGAAAAAATTCACCATGCATACAAATGAGTTTATATTCAAGACTCTGCATTTAGAAAAATCCTGACTTTAAATGTTATTGCATTTATTTCTCAACATTCGGTAATTAAATAAAAGAGTTATTATGCCTTTTCATATACTTGCAAATCCTATTGTTTTTTACTATATATCAATGTATATTTAAGAAATAAAGATTGCTCCAAGCCGTTTGACATGTAAATGTGCATTAGGACTCGCATTTATTTTCAAGAAAAAAAAAATTAGAAAAAGAATCTTTATCAACAATCATAACTTTAAGCCTCTTTACTTTTTATGGCGTCGGGCTTGCCCGATCGTCATCTAGTGATCAGTCAGGTTTACGCGATTCACGTTCGTTTTAAATCCGCAATAGAAAATAGCAACAGCTGTAAACCAATTTCTTTTAAAACGTTCACAATGAATAATAGCTTGTATATAAAATATCAATTGTATATATACTATTACAAAACAACGATATTATATTTAATTTTTACGCAAGAAAAACGTTATGGTTGTTGCGGATGAATTTGAAGTAAGAGATGCGTCGAATTTACATGAATCACATTTTGGGACCGATTAATGTAATACAAACAATCTTAAATACGGTAAAATAATTACAAAATAAACACGAATACAACAAGACTATAAAGATTGAATTTCTTAATCTTAGCTTTACTTTTACGATCTTCAATCCAATTTTATCCGAACAACCGACGATATTGATGAGAATGCCAGTATTTATTTATTATGGCCATTTCCTCCATTTGTTTACCGCGCCCTATCGTAAGTCGATCGTAACATTAGAGTCATGGTTGTAGTTAAGATGCAATCACTATACAACAGAACAACGCTCTGATGATGGCAATTAATGAAAATAATTTATGAAACCCTTCATATGTCTTCATGAAATTAGATTGATATAAGGATGGACATTTTATTGATTTTTCGATGTTGCAATTATATATGTGCTCTTCGGACCAGGACACAAGGCTATCAGGCCCTATACTGTATTTGTGTTAAGACTATTTTTTTTTTTATTATTATGTTACCGGAGTCACTCACTTGACCTATCTGCAGATCTTTTGAAATTGTTTTTCTTGTTCGACGCCATTGAAGCCTTTCAGGCTTTTGATTTAAATTAGGTGACTGTATTGCATTCCGATTACGTTAAATGCCCGATCAGCAAACCAGCAGGTGCTCGCCATGATTTACTGCCAAATTTTAAAAACGTTTTTCCTGCGTATATAAATTTTTTAATCAATATTTAAATTTAAAATATAACATTCTCAAAAAATATACCGGTAATATAATGTATATTTTTTCATATATGATTTCTGCAATTATTTATAAATTATAAAACGAACAATCGATTCCATTTGTTTATAGCGCGGAAATTTTATATATCTCACAATATAAATTTTTTATTACTTTCGATAATCATGGCGGTCAATGTCACCCATATCTAAATTAATTCGGAAACACATGAGGTTGCTGAATATTTGGCTTGAAGATGATTAAATAAATCTGACATCGTGTCTTTATCAGGCCAGTAGTATTATGTGGACAAAGTTTACAACCTGTCTTATACATGTATTTGCTTTCGTTTGCTTCTTTTTCCACAGTGATCAAAAACAAGTGGATAGGCCTACACCATTTATTGCATGAAATGCGTTGTATTAAACATGTGACCGAATATTCGAATACAAATTTTCCATTCGAATATTCATGAAAAACTATTCGTTCGCAAATGTTCGAACATTCGTTTCAGCTCTACAAGACTCTCTGCATTTAGGAAAATCCTGACTTTAAATGTTATTGCATTGATTTCTCAAATAATCTCTGGTAGCTTTCTTTGTACATGTAATTGATTTTTTAAATATACATGTACATTTTAAGACAAGGATTAAAGATTTCCACTTTTCCTAAGGAATGGAATTTACAAGCAATTTAGCTTTTCAAAGAATCTGAACTTTCTGCAAGTACCATATTGAGTGAGAACTCGTTGACAACTTGACATCCCAAGCTTCTATACATGATTTAATGTTCACAGTTTTGTAAATGTTTGGTTTTCATGTGATGTTTAAAATTTTATTGATTTTTCAGTTGCAATTATATATGTGCTCTTTTAATACTAAAGTGCTGGTCATTTTCTGCTGTAGGATATGGGTATCATGCTTCTAGGAAAACTGGAGTCAGGGTGTATATTACGGAATCAGACATTCCTGCTCATGCCAAACAGAGTAAGAACATTTATGATAAGTTAGGAAAATGTATCTTTTGTTTGAGATTTGTAAATTGAACGAATATCTTGTCTCTATAAGTTGGGAGGTTTGACGTGAATTTTAATTTTTTCTGGAAATTACAGGCAAGTGTCAAAATCATGCAGATTTTCTCAGATGACATTGAGGTAGAAGAAGCCAATCCGGGAGAAAATCTGAAACTGAAAGTGTCAGGAGTGGAAGAGGAGGTAAATGTTATCTACAACTGTTCTCTTACCACTGAATAAAGTTGAATGAGATTTTCACAAGATCTTTTATCACATGGTGTCATGATACCACCTCATACCTTACATTTTGATTTGACAAATATTTGGGGTTTCCCATAGCAAAGTATGGACATTGCCAGTATACTTATTACCTACATGTATGTATTTTGGAGGTATCTTTTTTTGGGTGATCAGTGCTAACAGTACCTCTTGGTATTTGTCTCACGGATTATAGAGGTCATGATTTTGCAATGATGTCACATTACACTATCCCCAGGACTCGACATTAACGCTGGTCCGGTACCAATGAAAAAAAATTACGGACAAGTGAATATTGCTGGGCAATTGTCCGATTGGACAAGTGATTTTTATCTAAAGAAGTCTTCAAATAATGATAATATTAAAAACAAAAACTATTGAAAAGTTTATCGAATAAAAATGGAAGCAGTACATAAACCCGAATTTCTATCCTGATATCAATCGCTATGTAAGTTCACACTTGATCAGGATCGATGTTCACTAATTGCAGCTATACTATTGCATGGGGTGGATCTTACGACATTTGTGGGTTTGGAATATATTTGATTGATATTACAGATTCACTTGTGAACATTTATGTTGTTGTCAGGACAGGAAGTCTAGATAAAATTTTGTTTTATATGTGTTTGTCTAATTTATCAATAACAACATAAATAATCAAGCACGTTTAATTTTTTTAATTTAAGTAATTGTTTTCAAGTTGACAGAATAAGATATTCATTGAAAATTTTTCTGACAAGTGAAGTTAAAGTTCGGACAAGTAAATATCTTGTAGGAAGTAGGAAAAAAAGTTAATGTCGAGCCCTGATCCCTTACCCAAAATTTGTTTATTCTACATGTAGTTCTTGTAAAAATAGTATTCTTTGACTTATCCAAAGAAGTATTACCCCAAGACTGAGTGTTTGTTGGAGTTGCATAATTAAGTGAAGTTAGTGAACATTAATTAATAAGGCTATCTAAATTTAATTCCCTGGTTCTCAGGCCAATTTTCTCCAAAACAGATGCGGGAGGGCGGCATTTTATTTTTCATTTTATTGGCAATAAAGTAGATGAGGGAGGTATTTTTTTAAATTTTAATTTCCGAATTTTCTTTAACATATAAGATAATTTTTTTAATCACAGATATACTTTCCATTTCTGACAAAATTTCTGCTTTATCCATTGCTTAACAGCGTGTAAACATCGTAGGTAATGTCCTCGAAATTTTCAAACGAAGTAGCCAAAATCTCCATGCAAATAGCTACCGAAGTGATATTTGAATACTAAACTACTAAAAAAAATGAGGCGGAATTTTTTTTCCGGATTGGTCTCCGCAATACCAACTTTTTATTTTATCAAAAATACGATAAAATTAGCAGTGCGGCTACCTCAAAACGGATGCGCGCGGGCCTGAGAACCAAGATTTCAATTTTATATGGCCTAATCGGTAGTTGTGTATCATTAGTGCATGATTAGGGAGGTTGTTTAAACATTTGACCTACTGTATTATCATTCTTTACAGGATGTGTCCCCAGGGTTTGTATTGTGTCCCTCAAATAGTCTGTGTCACACAGCTAAAACATTTGATGCTCAGGTAAGGACAAAGAATATTGTATGTTTTACCTTAATAGAACTACATTTTTTTAAAAAGTAGACAAGATGACAAATGTTTAAATGAAATGTTTCTTTGATATAAAAATTTTGTCTTGAAGCTAATTAATCAATGATAACTTATATGTCAATATGTTTTGCTTTCCTTGTTGACTTTGTCTAATGTTTTCTTTATCCCTTTCCCCAGATTGTGATATTGGAACACAAGTCCATTATATGTGCTGGATATAGTGCTATTCTACACATTCATGCATGTGCTGAAGAAGTAACGATCAAGGCCCTACTGTGTTTATTAGACAAAAAAACTGGCGAAAAGGCCCAGATTAAACCCAGATTTGTGAAACAAGATCAGGTGGCAATAGCTCGAATAGAAGTCAATGGAGGCATGATCTGTTTAGAGACATTCAAAGATTTTCCACAGATGGGACGATTTACATTACGAGATGAAGGTAAATACCTAGTCATTTTCTTTATCCCTACAAAACCGTTAAATACATATATATATTTATATACATGTATTTCAGAGTTTGACACTTGTGACATGAGTTTAATCATGCTTTGACTTACGAAAATCAAGATAAATGAATTTATTTTTTCTTTGGTGGTTTTTACTTGTGAGGATATTTTTGCTCACTATGACAGGGCTCTACATTAATTTTTCCCTACTTGTCCATGCAGACAAGTGACCAAGACATTAGCTTGTCAAAACTTCAACCACACTCGTCCTAAAAAACTTCAGCAAATTTTGATTGATTCATTATATTATTGATAAATACAACAAACACTTAAGACAAAATATTATCTAGGCTTACGGTCCTGACAACATTAAAGTTCACAAGTGAATCTTGTCAACATCAAACAGAATCCAAACTTCATAAGTTCCATGCCTTTCCAGTAGACTAGTATGCAATTTGTGAACTTCGTTTTCGATCGAATGTGAACTCAAATAATAGAAATCCCTATTGGGATCGAAGTCTGGTTTTATGTATAGCTTCCGTCTTGAAACTATCAATTAACTTTTAACAGTCATTCTTTTTAGGTCACCTGAGTAAACTCAGGTGACCTATTGCTATCTGTTGTTGTCCGTCGTCGTGCGCCGTGCGTTAACATGTGAACATTTTTAGCTTCTTCTCTGCAACCACTCAACCAATTTCAACCAATTTTGGCACATAGCATCTACGGGTGAAGGGGAACAAAAATTGTGAATTTCATGTTCCCTGCCCCCCTGGGGCCTGAGGGGTGGGGCCAAAACCACTAAAATTAGTGCAATCTTTAAAAATCTTCTTCTTTACTCCTGGACATCAAGCAGGCAAACTGTTGGCATGAATGTAATGAGCATTGAGTCCTCTACCAAAATTGTGAAATTCATGGCCCCAGGGTAAGGGGTTCTTGTGCTAGGGCGGGGCTATATAGATTATATAGTGAAAATACATTATTTCTTTGAAAATCTTCTTCTCTGCTCTTGGGTATTAAGTAAACTAAGTAAGTACATACTTATGTTGAGCAAGAGTGCCTCTTTCAAAATTATATATTTTATGGCCCCAGGGTCAGGGGTTCTGGTGTTAGGGCGGGGCTCTATTGATTATAATAGTGAAAATGCGTTTATTCTTTGAAAATCTTCTTCTCTGCTTCAGGGTATCAAATAAACTAACTAAACACATAGTTATGATGAGCAAGAGTGCCTCTTTCAAAATTATGATATTTATGGCCCCAGGGTCAGGGGTTCTGGTATTAGGGCGGGGCTCTATGGATTATATAGTGAAAATGCATTATTTTTTGAAAATCTTCTTCTCTGCTTCTGGGTATTGAATAAACTAACTAAGTACATAGTTATGATGAGCAAGAGTGCCTCTTCTAAAATTGTGAATTTTATGGCCCCAGAGTCGGGGGTTCTGGTGTTAGGGCGGGGCTCTATTGATTATATGGTGAAAATGCATTTATTCTTATTTACAAGATACTCAGGTGACTTATAAGGCCCGTGGGCCTCTTGTTATTATTTAGGGACACCTTTACATTACTGTAAACCAACATTTATTCGCGTGCGAGAAATATTCACGAGTTCCGCGACCTACTTTTGCTCGCGAATATTAATCGCCGCGAACCAATAATTTTGAGAATTATTTGTAGAGAATTTTTCTTTAGTCGCGAAAGTTAATTGTAGCGGATGGATTTCAGACTGACGAATCGCGAAAAAAAGATGACGCGAATAATAGTTGGTTTACAGTATTATGCACTTGTCACCTCAGACAAGTGCCCAGCAATATGAACTTGTCCAAAAACATTTTTCACTGGTACCAGACAAGCGTCAATGTCAAGCCCTGTATGAGACAGCAAGCTTTCCATTAACTACTGACACTTGGTCTTATAAAGCATAACGAACTTGTAGCAAAACCACAATTATCTCTCTTCTTTGTGTATCTTTCTTAGATTAATGAAAATAAATAATTATAATTTGACAATAATGTAAGAAAGTGAGGGTGTTTTGAATAACTATACTTTATAGCTCACCTGAGTGGAAAGCTCAAGTGAGATTTTCTAATCATTCGCTGTCTGTCCATCTGTAAACTTTTCGCATTTTCTACTTCTTCTCAAGAACCACTGGGCCAATTTCAACCAATCTTAGTACAAAGCATCCTTGGGTGATGGGGAGTTAAAATTGCTAAAGTAAATGGCCAAGTTTCCTTACAAGGGGAGATAATCAACTAGAAAAGAAATTCGTTGCGAGCAACGAGAGGTCTTCCGTTCGATTCTGAAAAAAAAAACGCAAAAACGAGCTGAATAAAGTGATAAAACTTTTTATGGAAAAAAGGGGATTGAACCCTAGTCGCCAGCGTGAAAATCCAAAAAGCTTACTATTACACTATTGGAACCACAGGTCTAAATGTACTTGTATATACTTCTGCAACAGTACACCTGCCCTAGTGTATTTATGTCCAATAACATAAATCAGATCTTGATACAGTAATGTTAGTATAAACTCCATTTAACGATCTTTTTTTTTTTTTAAAAAAAAAACAAAACAAAACAAAAATCTTACAATTTTCTTTTCTATCTGTTTAATATGACAGAAGTGTGCATCAGCAAAACAGTGGTTACGCGTTTGATACTTACTATAAACATCGATATTGTTTCTTAAAAACATTTACTTATAACTGTGATTTAAAATCTGATTTTCCGCAAAAAGCAAAATATATTAGGTATCATATTACATTATCACATTTAGTCTTTTCTTTTTCTTCTCTGAGAACCAGCCAAAGCTAATTACAGAAGACGTTTGAGACGACTGTGGATTAAAACTTAGTTTGACACAGAATTGCATCGTAACTACGACGTGACAATCCAAGTTTTCCTTTACATTTCATTTATCCTTAGGTTACTTCCATGTAAACAAACGCTCGGCTGACCCTGACTTGCGCAATGTCGGAGTTGACAGAGACAGCCGCCATTTTGGACCCGCTTCAGATTTTTAAATGTTAATATCAAGAGTTTGGATTTATCAATATTCAAACAAATTATACAGTAAGCATTAAAAGAAAGGTTTCTATTACCATTCCAGAAATAAATGAAAAATATTGAAAAACAAAAAAGTTAGAAAATATGGACTTTTTAATTTCACTTCCGATAGCAACCAGAAGTAAGAACGACGCACGAAAAGGTAATTCCGCAAATCTAGAAGTCATCATCTATCATCTCTAATAAGTCTCCAGTTAATATCTTCAGCCATTTTTGAAAAAAAGGGGGAACAAAAATCCATTTAAAAATCAGAAAACAGGGATGGGGTAATTGAATAAAGTAATTGTAATTGAGTGTAATTAATTACATTTTTCAAAGTAATTGGAAAATTTTTCTTGTCATGCCACAACTTCATATAATGACACAGTAATTCCTGAAAGTTTCACTGAAAACCACTTCAAAAAAGGTCATGTATTTTCAATTACTTTTCAATTACATTTCAATTTTTTTTTCAAAAAAAAAAATAATATTTTAAGAAACATACTGATACATAATTTTATACTGGTGGGTTTATATTAACAAAAATATTCCCATGTTTTATAAATTTTTTCCCAAGAACCACTTGCAAATTATAACAATGATTGCTTAACTTTTGTGGAAGCACTATTGGTTTTACAAGGGGGAAATTCTGTTCATTTTAAGGCATCACAAAAGTTATCAATGGAATTGTGATAGATATTATTTAATTTTATAAAATTGGATTTGAAAAGACAAAAATTAACCTTTGTTTTATTACATACATGTATCTATGCATTATTGTTATCTTCAAAAGATTTTTGCAATTCTACCTTTTTTTGCAGGAAAAACGATTGCAATAGGAAAAGTTCTAAAAATCAAAGAATAAATGATTTGAATATTGACTCAAAGGAAGAAATTTAAATGGGAACTAGTTTTGCTTTCATTGCTCAACAGGAAAAATCTTATTTAAACAAAAATTTTTATATTTTTTTTATAAAAATAAAGGACATGGCAATGTACTGTGCAGATGTATAATTTCTGTGTCTTTGGAGGTTTAATTACACTTGTTAAAGGTGCTTCATTATGTGTATGTTTCTTTTTTAACTTTAAGAATTGTTTTAAAAATTATGCATTTCAGATATTTCTTCTTTTTTGTCTAAAACTGCAATTTGCTTTAAAAAAAAGTTATTGTGAAATTTTGATGACGTACAGGTTTTTTTCATATTTCATTTTTTGTCTTGCCAGTTGTGACATAAAAAGTAGATGATAATTGCATCAATTTTTTTTTCCTTTTCGAAATAATAATAATAATAAGAAACAGTAGAGCTTATGCGATAGTAAGGTGTCTTCCGTCCTTCTGTCTGTCCTTAATAAATAACAAAAATAGGGTTGGGTCAGTGAAAAATTTTTTCAAAGACGCACTCCTCCTACAGTTTTGAAACTTTTTAAGCATAACTTGGCACACAAGTAGAATACACATGACAAAGATACATCACAAAAGTTATCGCTTTTGAGCGATGTGGTGAACGGTGTTGTCAATTTTATAAAAATAGAATTTTCTGTGAAATTCCTTTGTTTTATGCTACATCCTCCTACAGTTATATCCATTGTTTTATTACAACTTGGCATCAAGTAGCATACACAAAGATACTAAAATTTTGCATTGGTTTTTTTTTGCAGGAAAAACGATTGCAATGGTTACTAAAAATCAAAGAATTTTCTTGAATATTCCTCAAAGGAAGAAATTTACAATTTTGATTTGATTTCTTATAACTTGCCACACAAGTACCCATCCATTTGCGAAATAAAATAACTATCAATAGGACATGGCAATGTACTGTTGCAGATGTTATAAAAATGTTTTCTGTGAAATTCCTATCAAATGTTACAAGGTGCTTCATTATGTGTATGTTTCTTTTTAACTTTAAGAATTGTTTTAGAAATTATGATACATAGACTAGTGCATCAGATTTTGATTTTGATGAATTTTGCTTTAAAAAAAAATTATTGTGAAATTCCTTGAAAAAGCTACAGGTTTTTTTCATATTTCATTTTTTGTCTTGCCAGTTGTGACATAAAAAGTAGATGATAATTGCATCAATTTTTTTTTTCCTTTTCGATTTTTTGAAAGTACATATCAAAATGGTTGTAAAGTATTTCTATATTAATGACATATGCATAAACGAAGTGAATTTAAAACAGTAATTTAAAACTGTAATTATATTCAAACAGTTCAAAGAATTAAAAAAAAGACAACAACACATTAATGGTTGCTAGAAAAACTGAAAAAAATTATGTAATAGCAGTTGTTATGATACATGTATATACATTATGCATCAAAACAGCATTTCAAATCTATTTATTTTACAAATTCAAATTGTGCATGTTAATGTTAACTTTATATGTATTGTTAAAATTCAGATTTACTAGTGGATTTCAACTGAGAAAAAATTAGCAAAAAATGTTAAATATTTCTTTCAAAAACATAGAAGGCACACTTGAATGTTTATATCTAATATTTTCTTCAAAATGTACAGCATTTTACAAAAACTGAGGAAAGTTAGTATGCTGGCATTTTATTGTTTTTATTTGATGAATGAACTATTAAAAACATGCATTTGCAATGTGCTGATAGAACTGTATTACACAGTACAAACATTTATAAATTTTTTCTGGAAAATCTCTCTTGATGTCTCTTTGTATTATATGCAAGAAGTGCTGATAAGATTTGACACCTTTAAATGACAAAAAGAATTATTTAAAAAATAAAGATTCAAGCATACATTCGACTTAACCATGGATTTATTTTTCCTTACCTAAGACACCAGGATTTTGGTGAATTACATAAAGTGATGCATTACATTACCAGTGCTACAAGAATATAAACATTAAATTACCATTACTCTAATTTCTTGAAGTAATGCCATTTCATTTTGGGGGATAGAAATGCAAAACTGTGAATATCCATATATCCCACCCCATAAAAAATAAACATGATGAATGATAATTCAAATATGGTTTGAAGTACATGAACTTGTTATATTAACTAAACAGTTTCTGATCACTTGTCTGTCTGTCTGTCCACCTGTCAAACTGTTCATATTTTCAACTTCTCAAAATTAAACCACTAAGCCATTTTTTAGCTGAGGTGAAATCTCAAGTGAGCTTTTCTCAGCACCCGTTGTCAGTTGTCCATCCGTCTAACTGTCTGTCCGTCCGTCTGTAAACTTTTCACATTTTCAACTTCTTCTCAAGAACTACTGGGCCAATTATAACAAAACTTGCTAGAAAGCATCCTTTGGTAAAGGGGAGTTTAAACCCCCCCCCCCCCCAACAGCAATTCCAAACAAACAATTTCTTAAGGATGGCCTTAGTCATATTGATATGGAAGCATCCTCAAATATTGTTGATTAAGTTTGTTCAAATGATGACCCTGGGGTGGGATGGGGCTACAAATTGGGGGATCAAAGTTTTACATACGAACATATAGGAAGAAAAAGAGCAGGAAAGCCATGATTAGTCATATTGATATGGAAGCATCCCCAAGTATTGTAGATTTTGTTCAAGGCATCCTACAGTAGTGTAGGTTGGGGTCAAAATGGGGTATCGAGAGAACATATATAGGAAATATCTTAAAAATCTTCTCAAGAACAACAAAGCCACAATTAGTCAAATTCCTATGGTAGCATCCTCTGCAGGTAGTATACATTCAAGTTTTTAGCTCATGGTAGCATCCTCTGCAGGTAGAGTTCATTCAAGTTTTTAGCTCACCTGAGCTGAAAGCTCAGGTGAGCTATTCTGACCACAATTTGTCTGTAGTCTGTCTGTCTGGTGCCCATTTTTGGGTGAAGCTGATTCAAGTTTGTTCAAATGAAGGGCCACGCCCCCATTCAAGGGGGAATAATTAAGAAATAGTGAAAATTTGGTGGCATGTTTTAAAAAATTTAAGAACCACTGAATTGGGAAAGATAAAACTAATGTGGAAGCATCCTCAGGTACTGTAGATTCAAGTTTGTTCAAATCATGCACACGGGGGTAGGGTAGGGCCACAATGAAAGATCAAAGTTTAACAAAGGAATGTAAAGAAAAAATCTTCTCAAGAATAACAAAGCCATGATTGATCATATTTAAATGGAAGCATCCTCAGGTAATGTAGATTCAAGTTTGTTCAAATCATGACCATGGGTTAGGATGGGGCCAGAATGAAAGTTCATACTTATAGGGAAATAAACATAGTAAGTCAAAGAAATATGTAAGCATCCTTGGTAGATTCAAGTTAATTCAACACATACCCCCCTACTGCCTTTTAGGGGTAGGTCGGGACCACATGCATTTAAGCTTTTCAAAACTGGATTGAATTTTGCTCCTTTTCTTAGCCACTGTGCTCAGGTGAGGGATGTTGCCCATGGGCCTCTTGTTTTCAAATCCCAAGCCACCCCAACTTTAAAATTCCATTTTCAAGAACAGCAAAGCCAAGATTAGTTAAATATAAAATATTGAAGCATCCTCAGAGAGTTGAGATTCAATTTCTTTCAAAACAATATGGCACCTGGAAGTAGGTTTTGCCAGGAACAGGCAATCAAAGCTTTACACATGGATACTTATGTGAAGAATATGAAGAATTACAGGCTCATATTGACTCAGGTGAGCATTGTGGCCCAAGAGCTCTTGTTCTCTGCTTTTACTGAAAGTGAGGTAAAATATATTACTTGGGTCTGTCATTTTGTGTGTGTAACTCTTATTTCCAAATATCCTAACCTTAAGAAAACTTTTTTTAAGGTCTATAGGTTGAGGTATTAAGAAATCTATACTTTCTGATCAAGTGCAAACAATTGCTCTCAGACAACATCTCAAAAAGCATTTGAGCATGCAAGACTTCTAGTTGACTTTGAGGTCGAAGGTCTAGGCCAGAAATTTATTTCAAAAAATGGTTTCCTTTTGATAATTTCAGTTTTCTGTGAGCCTTTGCAATGAAATTTCATAACTTAAAGAGACACCATGAGGCATACCGCACAAAGGGGAAAATTGACAAACGTAGAACTTTTGCATGATCCGAGTAAATTTTGTTCAATGCCTTAAAGTATTAGGTTTCAGAAAATTTCAGAACCTAAAAGAACTATTTTTATGGAGAAATATAAAAGTAAAAAATAATTGCAGTATGCCCCATAACGAAAATATTGCTTTTAATTCTTCCTCCCTATTGTACGCGTGCACAGATAAGATGAATATGTTACCATAGTTACCATGGTCTCAAGTACCCAGGAATGAATGCAAGTAGACAAAAAATTTTGATGCATTCTTTTGAGAAGTTAGATCATATTTCTCACATTTACATATGCTCCATTTGAATGTTGTTTACAAGTTTGAGCTAAAAATAAAAGTGGCATGACACAAAGACACAAAAAGATAGATCTATACAACCTTCGTTTTTACGGCACTTATTGTGCAGCCTTTTCTTGCTTTACACTGCAGTTTAATTGTCATATCTTTGCTATATAATTATAATTTTCACAAGTTTTTCTCTGTATGCTACAGATATCTTAAAAGAAACACATGAATTTGACTCATTGTGTTACTTTAAGAATCCATTGGACTTGGAGATTGAAAGGTTAAGGTCATATATTTATATCTTGCATAAGATTTCTCCTGGTGAAAATTTTCATTTTGATTTGCATTAATTTGAAATTTTTTACTGTTAGTAAATATCTCTTTTTCAAAAAGTTAACAAAACCTGTTGATTTTGAGGTCAATAGGCTCATATATTCTCGAAATGTTCGCATTACATAACATTACAAAAATATTTTTTTAACCTACATAAATGCTCAATGGGCTTTGAATTCATAGTTTGTAATTAACAAGTTAAAATTGAATTAAATTCCCACATCTTTTTTCAGGATTAAAAAAATTAAGAATTGGATCAAAACATGTATATTCATATTTCGTTGAAAGTTATTTTAT